GCTGCGGACAGGGCGGGATGCGTTTTGGGCTGCCGGGCAGGCGCGCGGCGACGCAGCGACGCCGCCCGCCGCCGACGCACGACGCGCGGCTCGGCAGGGAGGGGGATCGGGGACGCGCGGGCTGCGCGCTGCGAACCTCGGGGGACGAGCCCCGCGCGCTCCCACTCGCTTGCGCTGCCGCGCACCAGCCCATTTCCGCAACCAGCTGGCAGGGCCACGGCGCCGGCGCGCGGCGCTGGCGGCCCGCGCCGCAGCCGCGGCGCTGCGCCTGACCTGAGTGCGCGTACGCGGCCGCAGCCCAACACGCGTTCACAGCACCCCCAGCTGTCCCGTTTCCACAGCCGGTCGCCAATCGCTCAATTCTGGCAGTGGGGTGACGAAATGCAGTACACAAATCGGGCATGGAGCCCCGTGGCCCACCTCCAAGTCCTGGCCATTGTCGGCGACCTCGTCGTCCTCGTCAGCGGGGCCCTCCCCCTCGGTGAACGCCGATACGTCCGGGTCGCCGCGGGGCCGCGGGGGCATCTGGGAGGATGCAAGAGCAGGATTGTGCGTGAGCTTGTGTGTGTGCATGTGCATGTGCATGTGCATGGGTGTGTGCATGAGCTTGTGTGTGTGCATGTGCATGTGCATGTGCAAGTGCATGTGCATGTGCGCGTGTGTGTACAGGTGCATGTGCGTGTGCATGTGCATGTGTGTGTGTGTGTGCATGTGCATGTGCTTGTGTGTGTGCATGTGCATGTGCATGTGCCTGTGCATGCGAGTGCAGATATGTGGGCACCAGGGACCCTGATTGTCAAGAGAGGGAGGGGTGTGTGTGCAGAATTTGGTTGTCCAGATCATGGGGTTGGGGCACAGCCCAGGGTGTGCCCCCTCCTCACAAGGCCCCGTCACCACCGTTCGTGCGTGCCAGTCGACCCGCCGCGAGGCCCCTGCGCGGCCGGGCGCCGGCCGTCCTGCGGACTGGCCGGGCGGCCCGCGCGGCGGGCACGCCCTGGCCCCTGAGAGGCCTGCGATCCCGGGCGCCTCCCGCAGCCGGCGCCGTCGCGCGTGCAGGTCGCGCGCCGGCGAACGAACACGTGTTCCAGGCGCCTGTGGCCCTCATACCCCAGCCCCTCGGAAAGGCCGCCCTTTTCGCACAGCACAGGGAGGCGCACCTGTATGGCGACCTGGTCGGCGCCCGCGACGTCGTCGCCCGCGACGCGCTCCGCGCCGCCCGCCACCTTCATCGACGCCGCCTTCGCGCGGCTGGGCGTCCGCGCCGGCTGCTTCTTGCCGAGTGGCGACTTGAGGAGCCAAGTCTTGACGAGCCAAAAGGCGGCAAACAGGTGCGCGGCGGCGATAACTGGCACCCACAGCAGGATGATGGAGGTCTTCCCGGCGGCCCCAACGGCCGTCGGCTGCACGAGGGTCGCCATGGCTAGGCGGCGGTCTCGCTGGGAGTGCGCGTGGGATAGGGGAGGCGGGGGGCGGAAGCGCGCGGCGGGCGGCGGGCGGCGGGCGGCAGTGAGTTTGGGGTCACTTGCCCAGCCGGGGTCAGCTGCGCAGCGGCGGCGGGGCGTAGCAGGCAGGCTTTGCTGCACAGAAGCGCTCCTGTAGGCCCAAACTTGGTGTTTAGCTGCGCGGACACTCGCGGGGCAGCTGGATCAAGGCAGGCCACGGAGAGCGCCAAGTCCCGGTGACCCCAAGCGCCCAAATCCGTTGGCCCGTGGCGCGGGACTGCGCAGCGTGGAGCTTGTGCCAGGCCGACTCGGAGAGCGCTAGTGCCCACAGGGCACCACGCTCCGATGAGACGCACCTTGGCCTAGTTCCGGCGTGTCGCTATCGCACTTGGTGAAGGCCTTGCGACTGAAATATGAGAATTTCGGGCGCACAACTAGTAACGAACACTTTGGAGTGGTTGTCGCGCTTGTGGCGCAGATCCAGGCGGGTGCGAGAGGGCTCACTCTGTAGCCATTGCGCGTGCGAAAAAGAATTGTCCCATAATCGGCCTTTACACGCGCATGTTCTCGGGGCGTACCTGATGTAACTAGAGATCATCGGGCGCCAAAGCACAGGATGTGATGCAGTGTCACGGATGTCAATGCTTCATCGTGTCCAGCACGACCTTTGTTTTCGCCGGCGCCGCCGGCGCACGGCCTACTGGGTTCCACCATTCACACCAGTGGGCGACCACTGGTGTGCACAGTCACCACTGCTCTCGTCTCCTGCGGCAGCAGGCCCACAACCAGGGAAAGGCTTCACACGCAACGCCAAGCGATGGACCTGCACCGCCGTCGTGCCTGCCGATGCTGTGCTACTCCCGCCGCCGTGGCTGCCGCGCCCTCGGTCGTGGCAGCAGCCGCGACGCACCGCGCACGCCAGAGTGCCTCTCTCGCAATGCAGGGGTCACCCTTGTTGCTGAGGCCAAGAAGTTGGTTCAATGTGGAAGGGATTACTCTCATCCCTCGGAACAGCGTATTTTGCTTGGGTTCAAGTTACTTACAAGCGGCCAACGTTGAGTTGCGCCTGGTGTGAACTCTCCTGCGGGCATGAAAAGCTGACTAGGCCGACACCAAGAAAGGTCGAGAGCACTACACGCCACGGACACAGCGATTGCGCCGGTTTTGGCGCGCCACCCCTGCACTGGCAGGCAGGATGCAGGGGGCCGGCCCCTGCCTAACGCAGGGAAGCTTGCCTCTGAGCAAGCAAGTCCATCCTGCTACAAACTGTGCACCCCCCACGCACCCAACACCCCACCCATCCATGCCAAAACCCCGCCGTGGGTTGTCTGGGAACGGCCCTCAAGGGCCCCTCGCTCTATGTGCAAAACCGCAGGGCCCCGCGCGGCTCCGCCCGCCCAGCGGCGGCATGCTGGCGCAGCCGCAGCTGCCGCCCGGCCCGCGCGCCTGGCCCGCAGGGCGCATGTGACTAGTTGCTCGCAGGCTTCCGCCCGCCCGCCCGGCCGCCGCATCAGCGGCGCTGCCCGCCGCCACTCACTTCCGGACGGGGATCTTATTGTATACAGTGATCCTGGGCGGCACCGCCGCCGTGGTGTCCGTGGAAAGGAACGCCTTGGGCGCCGGCGAGGGCGACGCAGCCGCAGCCGCCGGGGCGGGCGACGCCGCGCCCTTGGGCGCCGGCGACACCGCGTTGCCCTCGTCGTCAGTCTCGTTTCCGTCCTCCTCTGCCGGCTCTTGGTAATCCTCCTCGGCCTCCGTGTCACCATCAGCGCCGCCGGGCGCGGGGCTGGCGGCGGCGGGGGCCGCGGCGGCGGCCTTGGGG